TGCAGCATCAAAGGGGAGCAAGAAAGAGAGGGCTGGGCGGGGGGGAGGTGAGGGGTTGCTCTCTGCGTTCACAGCAGAAAGCTGGGGGAGGGGGGTTCGGGGAGTCATTTTGGGTTATTTGGAGAAAAACCTATGATGTGTATATAAACAAAGACAGACCAGGATGTGAAGCGAGAATGCTGGTTAACACGCCTCATGGCCTCGTAAAGTTTTGTCTGCTTGCTCTCACCCAAAAATACAAAGTGTGTACAAAGAGCCTTCAAAGTCTTCATGGCCTACAACCTGATTTCCAAAGCCTAAAATTTACGAAGCTTGAAACGTGCATTGCTAAGCAATGGCTTTTGGTTAATAACAAGGTGGCATATTAAAATTAATGAAGCACAGCCAGTCACACATGCATTAGCAGCAGCATCAACATTCTCACTGACCAGCAATCTCCTAAGGCTTCGAAAACACAGATGGTATATGAAACACACTGATTGTTCTATCATAAACATGATTCCTGGAGAACATTCTGAAAGCCTCCAAGAAAAGCCAAACTTGACAGTAATAGTTTAAATCTATTGATTTCTTAACAATTACACTGACAAAATGAAACCTCAAGAACCTAAGTCAGAATGCTTATGTGGTTGTGATTCCTGCGGTTTGTCTTCCTTAGTTCCTCATGCTTTCCTTGGGTCCTGGCTGGATTCTCTCCAGCTCTCTTACTGTGAGGCGCTGCACACTTCCCTCACAAAATGTTGAGCATTGTTTCTGCTGCAGCTGTCTAAACGTATGTTAATGAAAGCAGAGGAAATGTACGCCTCAGACCTCTAAAGCTGGCAGCATATTGAAGCCTCGGAAGATCTGTATAGAGACCCAAGGTGAAGCCACTTATGACCCAGAGCTGTTAAAATCTTTCAATATACCATATATATACATTTTTATCAATGTCAGTTTTACTTAATAGTGTATGCCTACATGCAATCTGAATTATTTAAACCCAATTTTCACCAACTGACTTTCCACTGACAGATTTCCACCAATCATTTCTCTTCTTGGGCTCTCATCAAAGCGCCCCAGAAGTGTAGCAAAATAGCCAATCGTGTATGGTTGCTAGGCGAAAATAATAAAGATTTGGCCTATCACCGAATTAAATGGTTTTAGGGCGCTGGAAATTTCGCCCCTGCTACAGAAAAAAAGGGAAAGTTTGGGATTGCTCTCAGGTCAGTCAGTCAGAGAGAGATGATGGCGACGACGACAGTTGAGGGGCAGCTTCCACCAAATTCACTGAGATCGTTATTCAATTACCCTTTTGCGAGAAGGAAGATGGTGGAAAAAAATCCACGTTAAGGAGCTGGGACCCGACAAGCCCGAAATTACTGTTGCTGTAAATTGCTAATTTACTTTATCTGTGAAACTGCTGATTTTGAGAAGGAAATTAAATTATGATTGTGAAATTGTTGTCATTTTCTGACTGTTCATTTTGAATGCTTATACTGGACTAGGAAGGTAAATCTATTGGTATGTCAGCCCCACCAAGAATAATTTTTCACCAGCCGCCACTGGTTACCACCATACAAATGGGGAAATTCTCACATGGAGAGTCATGACAGGGACACGGGGCCTCAGGCCAGAGCTGGGAGGGACATCACATGGAATGCCCTGCATCCACCTGACACAAATAGCAGCAGCATCTCCCAGTGTTTTTCATGGCATGTTGAATTTACATTTTCACTGTTTCTGCAGAGGGGATAACTGCCCAAAGTTTGGGAATCATACCCGGTAAGAGTACTTGATCCTGCCCCTCTGAAGGGCCAGAAAAGGGGGTGTTCAGACCCTCCACATGCGTCTATGTGGCTACAGCTCGCTCGAAAGAGAGTTTCATTTGAGAAGTGGATGACTCTATCTTTCCTTTGGTTCATATTTATTGTCATTGTTATTTCTCTTTCTGCTGCCAAAGGTGCATGAATATTAATGTCTGCTTTGGAGGACTCCCCGGGGTCCATGAACTCCATCTATCACTTCCAAAATTAGCCTGGCAGACATTGCCTAATGACAGGTCAGGGAGCCAATCAGGAGGGGGGCCAGCAAACCAGGGGTTCATCATACTATGGCAGGCGACTGCACAAATAAGTGGTTAAGCATTTAGGTTCGCCATGAAGGCGACGCAACAGACAAACCACTGAAATCACTGTTCAGCTACACTGTTTCACTCTGATGATTTACTCAAACTTAAAGAATATGCTTTTCAGTGGGGAGATTGTTACAATTTCCAGTGCGAATTCTAAATCTCACTGGCTGTGTGAAATATTTTCAGGCCTTTTCTCTCTCTACCAAGAAAAAACACCAACATCTTTAAAAGCAGGTTTTATATACTTAACAGTATTTGTTCATCATATAAAATGAAACACATATAAGTAAACACACTCAAATCTGCCCACTGCAGATGACCGAATAATGACCTAAACAAAGAGTCTGAATCAGCGACATTTCCATACAGAAATTCTGAAAAATCACCATTTAAGAAAATTAATTTCCTACCACAAACTCCAGCTTTGGCTTGGGGGCAACATGGTGTTGGTAATGAATATGTCAAACACAATATGCTGTCTGGAAAGAGATAACAGACCAACTGGGGGTCTTTAAATACACCATAAACATGACAGATTAACAAAAACAGTCTTCATTTACTTGGCTAATGATTATAATCTGAGGTCAGGCAAAGAGCAAGATGTTGGCAATCTTGAAGAAAAATAAAATGTACTTCTGCAAGTATACTCTGCACTATATTCTGTCTGGCACTTACTGTGTGAAATACTGTGTGATTCAGAATAACAATGGCTATAAGCTCTGCATTTAATCTGTTTATTTCCAGCGCTGGGACCCTTTAAATCTGTTATCCATGCGTTTATGGCCACATATTAGTTATAGCTTTTATAACTTTTGATACGGGGTAAGGGCCTGCAAGCAAGAAATGAATGGAGAAGAAAGCTAAGGAGAAAGATCAGGGAAGGAGGGAGTATATAAAAAATGGAGGGAAGCATTCCATCTTTGGATCTCCATGAAAAAAAGGTGACTGCACACGGATCAGGGTTATCTTGCACAAGGCAAACCACAGATCAGAAACCCGCCCTTAACATGGAAATGCCTACTTGTGAAAACAGGGCATTTCCTAGCTGCCTTCATATGACATCCCTCACGTACAACCTCCTCATGACACGGTGTGCAAACAGGGCCTGCACAGCACCGCATTTGTTTACAGTGTTATCTTCCGTCACACTTAATTCACGGAAGCTGCGCTACAGGTAATAGGGCCGGCGATTACGGCTCATGTCGCCTTACGGAGGACTGCCTGGCATGCCGGGGTGTCTGTGAAGTCACCCGCTGGGCCTTGCTATCCCAAAATACGCCGTTGATTTCCTTCTCAAGGATTTACTTACGATGAAGGAGCATATATAAAACTCTTGCAGAAGCAGTGGCATGATTTAAGCATGCAGCATGCACACACACCCTGTTCACTGACTGATTTACAGGGCGGCGTTTCTGCCAATATGAGTTACCATGCTCCACGGCATCCGCAGACCTCCTTCGCCTGGTTATTTACTGCAGTCCCCAGCATTAGTGCTTTAGAGCGTAGCTTTACGCTACCGCTAAGCAGATAAGGGGCCACGCTAAGCTAAGAGGGAGGCAATCACGCCAGCACAGCCACCGATTACAGCACTCACAGTCATGAGCTCCTTCTGGAAGGACTTCCTCTCCTTCCCTTCCGAATTGTTGCAGTCCTCCTTGAACCTCTCCAGGACACAGGCCACCTTCTCCGGCTCACTGTCAAGATCATTCCGGCTGAAGTACGTCAAAGGTAGGTTATTGTAGCCCAATAAGTCAGCAAAGACCCTCCAGTTCCCAATGTTCTCCATCAGTATGGTCCTCACCGAGGCATAGATGTAGGTAAGGAACTTACAGGCCCTTAGGATCTGATCTAACAGTATGGCAGTGGTGAGGTCTGGCCCAGTGAAATGAATGGGCTTAATCTTGCCCACAATCAGAACATTTTTAGCATGAACAAGTCCTGTTCTGCCTTGGTAATACCCAATGTACCACTCTTTGGTCCACAGGTGCCCCTTTAGCTTAATTTTCTCCTCACTAAGCAGTGCAATCATGTCTCCCTTCTTATATTCCAAGAGATATGGGTTCTTGGTTTGTCTAACCACAGTTTTGATCAATTTTCCAAACTTCAAGTTGGTAACAGGGCGATCTTGAAAGATTGGGTATTTGGTAGTGATGGCCAGAGGAGACAGAAGGATCTTTCCTACTTCTTTCTTCTTCAGAAACCTTCTCTGACCTGATGCTCGTGTCCCGGTTTTGGGAGGGGGCTGTGGTGTCTGCACACAGAACTGAGCCAGGATGCAGTCCTGGATGTCCTTCACCTGGATCCTCAATGTGAAGTCTGAGATGTCGTCTGCATTACGAGACGTGATCATGTAAACAAGACGGCTCACCTTGCCCAGCTTCACCTGGAAGCCCCTGACAATCTGAACCTGCTCATTGGCCTTGACATCATAGTTTGACATGTTTGAGTAAACGCCGACTTGCAGATCTTGTGGCCTGGCCAATACGAATTGGTGCTTCCCCCATAGTTGCAGAGCTACAGGGGGTGCAGAATGGGCCTCCCTCCCCACCTCACTTACCAACAGTGTCTTCGGGGCACAGTCATGCCCAAAGATAGCAACTACGGTCTTGAAGGAGGGGTGGATATGCTTGGGCCCATAGACGCCCAAGGTGACCTTCTTCACTACATGGTCCCAGACCGTTGAGTTGATGGCAAGGTTTTTAGCTTGTGCCACTACAGCCACATACATGCAAGGCTCAAGGTTATCAAGCCGAACCTGGACTGTGTCCCCATACATGTAGGCCTCTTCAATGGGCACATATGGTCCTTCCTTGCAGTCGCTACGGACGCATGTGATCTCAGCTGCCTGCCGGCTCTCCTTCTTCACTACGACGGACACCTTCATCTCCAAGGTGACGGAAGTCTTTATCTCCATATTGCTCAGCTTCATCTCCACTACGGGGCTGACCGTGGAGCACCTATCAGTGTTGAGTTCCAATGGAGGATCAAGCAAGGCTTTCAGTGAGATCTGCTGGGTTTCTCCAAGGGGTACATGTTCCTCTGGGACGTGAATGCTGATGCTGGTGTCAGGCAGCTGCACAGCGCCTCCAGAGCTGTCCAGTCTGCACACAATGTTAGTCTCTACAGGCTGCGTCTGTCCCCAGCCTGGATTTTGGCCAAGGGAATCAAGGTCATGACATGACCGGGCCAACTTTCTGTGGTTAAGCCATGCAGTCCTAAAGTCCTCCCTACTTTGAAACTGCTCAGGGGTCGGAGATTTTAAACCAGTGAAAAAACCAGAGGAGGAACCTGGGGAACTAGCCTGGGCCTGGAGGATGGAGAGCTCAGAAAGGCTGTAAGACCGCTTGCTCCTGAAGAAGGGGTTTCCCCTGCGGAAGTTCTGTGTGATATCTGGGTTGGGATTCACAGGTGTCAAGTCAAAGGTGCCATTAAAGGCACTGCCGTTGCTGGCGTTGGGGTTGGAGGGAGTGTCAAAGAACAGTAGATCCACAGTGCTATGTACAGCCCTCCTATTGCAATTCTGGTCCAGAGTACCTTGTGGAGGCCCAGAGAAGAAGGGATTAGTAGAGGAACGGGGGACAAAGGGATTGCTGTTGCAGGGTGAGCAGTGCTTTAGGACTCCATTCCAGTCGCCGAGGAGGTCCAGCTCTTGGGCACCCTCTTCTAAGCAATCCCCAAGGTTACTGACTGTCCCGCTATCACTCAGGATCGAGTTCCTGCAGGTGACTGGCTTCACATAGGCCGCAGGGATGTAGCCCATCTCTTTGTTGTTGTGGGCGTACCACCATTCTCCACCTGATGTGTCCAGGACAAAGAGGTGATCACCCTTAGAAAACTTCAGCGTAGTGAAGTTGGAGGGACAGTAATCTTTAATGGCAATGACTTCCTTTGCATTCCCAAGGGAGGTTGGAGTCTCCAGTCTTAAGGCACTGGGTGAAGGCACTGTAAAGACACAAATCCAATGAATAAATGCTGAGCATATATTATTACAGAAAGTGCCACAGAAAGATCAAGCATACCTGCATTACTTACACTGTTTCATAATAAAAGCATGACAGAAGGCACACTAAGCACAACATCGGTAGAAGAAGAAGCTGACCTTTAACATCTGTGAGGCTGGCCTCGGACACTCCTTCGCTGAATTCCATAAGCGTCCCCTCGGATTTGCACCGAGGCAGTGCATTGCTGTTGTTTGTCACTCGGATTCGGTGGGCAGCCATGTTAGTTATCTACTTTTTTAGGTCCTTTCCAACGACGGTGGGAATCTGTCATTTGGGGTCTTCCATTCTTCCTGAAAGCAGTCGGGAGGGAGGGAGCTCAGACTCCGGAGAGGAATGCGACACCAGCTTGAGACACAGAGAGACACTGCAGTAACTAATTACAAAGATGATTAAGGTCTGCACTGCCTGAAACCGCGACTCTTATTGATGGGAAATGTGGCGGCCCAGTGCAGATAGCATGCAGTACGAGCTGCATGTCCCGTTTCTTTTCACCTGTCACTGCAGATACCAGCTTTGACCTCGTCCCTACTGGGGCATTAATAAACTACATAAAAAAGCAATCTGTCATCATTAAAATACCAGAACGATCAGTCAGTCCAATACCACACCTCCTTCAGGTTATATATAGGGGTGCAGTGTGGCTCATCATTTTAAGATACTGTGCTTATGATCAAAAGGTCATGGGTTCAAATCTCAGGGTTGACACTATGGCCCTCAACCCCCATTTGCTTCATGGACCTTCTTTTTCAAATATGTTTGTTCAGTGTGACAGGTGTCTAATACTGTTTTTTACTGAAATATGGGGAACAAAGGAGAGGATTCAGGTATAATGTTTACGGTTACAGCTTGGGAACGCAAATGTTTTCCATGGAAAATAATGGCATGTTGTGACTTGATTTTCCTGCCGGAATGGTCGATGCCAGGGACTAGAGAGACAGAGGCCGTTACTTGCCAAACTCTCTGACTCAGGGCGGAAAGCCTCCACCTTGTTTCTGTTGCTGCTCCGAAAGAGGGCAGATACCTGTTAATGACACTCACTAGATCCTTGTGGAGATAATTATATAACTGGAAAGATGCATAAGAAACATGAAGATGGCCAAGGGTTGGAGTTGATGGCCATGACATCCCCATCCTGCTTTGCCAAATGAAAAAAGAAAATTGTGCCCACAATTCCTTAAATATTTTAATGGCCATAAGTGCCAGAGCTATTCTTTAGTAACATTTACACTGCAAGGACTGCCTCAGTGCCATCCCTGTATTTACAGTACCACCACATTTGAACCCGTGGGAAGAAAAAATTTACCAGACAATAAAAAAAAAAAAACATGCCGAATAAATCTTCACAGGTGCCTGAATATGTGTAATATGTCAGTTAGGGGAGGACCTGAAGCTGGGACTGTTCTTTAGAAGGAAACTGCAATTAGACAAATTTCATTGCAAAAAAAAACAAAAGAAAAATGCTAATGAATGACACTTTTGAAAGTTGAAAATCAGTCCGTGTCAGTGTTACAAATAAACACCTTTGACAGGCAGTAATCTGAAGAGGGTGGAACTGAGTCAAAGGTGATTACCGCCCACACGTGTCAGCACTATCACAGGTATTTGTACTGCTTCTGACAACAGGCAGATTGTGTGTAATCACCATTATTACAGATTGCAGAGAAGCAGAACTGGCATGAATGATGGGGTCTTCCAGCAGACCAAGAAGGCAGAGATCCAGAGGTAAGCACCTCACAGAAGGGCGTACTGTGTGGGATGGTGTGGTGAGCCGAGGCTGAAACTGATCTCACACCTTCTCCCTCTCTCCACTTTAATGTGACCCAGTAACTGATACAGGGATGTTGTTTTTACATCGTAGACACAGACAACTGCTCATCTGTGAGCGAAGCACCGATCAAAGGCAGTTTCTTTGTGTGCTGACAATCACATTTACCATCCAGGAAAAATGCCCTTATGTAACAAAAGCAGTAGATTCATGTCTGCCTTAAATGGCAGCTGATCTCAAGTAATACCACCGTCTCTAAGCACTTCAAAAACAGGAATTTCAGCTCAAATTCCTCACAGATCCCCCCCACCCCCGTCTTGTATTATGGGCCGTAGGCCTTTTTGAGGATATGTATTTCATTGTGGTGGGGTTCAGCAAGTTGAACTTTTCAGATGTTTATTACTGATACTGAGGACATAGCTGGTGCACCGCAGGTACACATTTTGATGGTGAGGACGTAAAAGGATGTGATATCCCAGGGCACAATGACAGGGTCATTATTTTGAAATATTTAGTCTCCTGATGTGTTTGCTGAAGAATAAAGCTCAGGAATTTCAGAAGAGCTGAAATGACCCAAAAACCAGATACACGTTAGATAGTGGGAATGTTTTAAATGGCGTCAGCCTGCGAAAGAGAAAAGAAAAAAATCAGACAAATGAACAAGTCTGCTGCAGAATTGGATCCTGTCGAATCATATTGATCTACAGACTGAACAGTCAGTGGAGCAGAAAAGGGCCTCAGAAAGCAGGACTGTCGGCTGTCCGCTGTGCTTGGGCTAAATTATGGGCAGAATGAATAGGTTGAATTAGACTGAGGGCTCTGGAGATGAAGTACACAAATGTTAATAATGTGCTCACAAAATACCCCGGGGGCCAGGGGGGTATAACAGAACGGTGGGCAATTCACTTTGACACTGAAGCTGGCACTGAACCTACAGTGTTTCAGTGTAACACAGCTTGTGTGTAACACCTGACTGATACTAACACAGAGTGTGTCACTGTAACACACCTCTGAACATCTGACCGATGTGTCATTGTAACACAGCTCTGAACTGCTGAACTATACTGAACACAGAGTGCGTCATTGGAATGCATCTCTGAGCGTCCGTAGTATACTGGATGCAGCATGTTTAACACAGGTCTGGCTGTCCATGCAGACCAACCACCCAAGTGTCCATGTGCAGCATCAGCACCTTCCTTCACCATGGGCAGGAGGCACCAGGACCTTCTAACAAACGCATGGAAGTGAAGATTACACAGCTGAAACTTCAAAGTGCCCCCCTCCCTTCCTAGCCATGCTGCAGGTACTGCATGGCCAGCGCAGATAACGCTCAGAGACACATTTGCGGCCTTTGAGAGCCGCACCTCACCTTCGACATTAATTACGTTGCACGCTATTTCGTCCTTGCACCAAACTGTACACTGAGTCAATCACCCAATTAAATCCATAGTGACAGACTGCATCATAGGAGCAGCAAAGCCCCTATTCACAGGGATCTTATCACTGTCAAAACCTGTCACACAGACACACAGAAGGCCATAGGCTGGTGTGTCAGCCCCCAGGAGGACAGTCACTCCACCATGATAAAATGTCCCCCTCCTCACTCCCTGGACTAGCCATGCTGTTGTACCTGTATACTCATGTGTACTGTGCTTATAACATGGGAACAATGGCAGAAACAGATGACTAACAGAGTCAGCTCTGCCGCTCCACAAACAGGTGATGCAAGGTAAAACAGAAACAACGCCGTGACCCTACTCCACCAGCACAAAACAGAACCACGTTTGATTTATGGAGGGGACAGACGCCATTAGTCACATGACTTATTAGCGGAGGAGTGCCCGCTGTCTGCCTGGGGCAGATAATTCAGGGTGCAGCGCTGTACATCCTGACCTCGCCGGGAAAAGTCACAGACCCTCTATTACCACATTTACTAAACGCATGCTGATTAAGCCCAGGGAAATTAAAAATGATGCGTGAGGATGGGGGGTGGGGAGGTTCAGGTGGATTCTGACAGTCGGTCTTAAAGATGAATGATATCTCATTGTTACATGCACCCAACACCACCCAGTGGGGCACTGCAGTTACAGTAGGTATTGTGTCACATTGATGTTAATAGGCTTCTCGACTCGAACCCAACCTAGTACCTTCAGGCTACCCTAGCTGAATCCATGGCTGTGACCTTGCAAGGAGAAACGTATCTGACAGACAAAAGGTCTCTCTCACACACACACACACACACAGGTTTGTGATTATATCTTTGTGGGGACTCTCCATTCATTTCTATGGCGAAAACTCTAATCACAACATGACGACCTTGACCCCTACCCAGCCCTAACCTTAACCCTAAGTAACCAAACAAAGTACAAGGCTTTGGGCATTTTTGCTTTTTTGATTTCATTCACAGATCTTTGTGGGGACCTGAAAAATGGTCCCCACAATGTCAAATAAACCAGGTTTTTATTACATTGTGGGGAAGACACACACACACACGCACACACACACACACACACACTAAAATACACATGCAGACACACACTAATACAAGCAAATGTTTTAATGTGCATGTACATTAAGAAGCAGCAGCATTCCACAGAAAGACAGACAGGTAGGCAGACCAACAGGCATTCAGGCAGGCAGACAGGCAGGCAGACCTGGAGACAGACAGGTGGACAGGGAGGCAGGCAGACAGACAAACAGGCCGACAGGGAGGCAGGCAGACAGACAAACAGGCCGACAGGGAGTCAGAACAGACAGACAAGCAGGTAGGCAAACAAACAGATAAGCAGGCAGGGAGACAGACAGACAGCAATCTATCAGACCTGAACATTTTGTCTCATCACATGTTGATTGTGTTGGTCTCATTCCTGCTGTTTAGCGTTTGACTTGGGTGGCTCTCAACAACTCCACACGAACAAGGGTGTGGGAGCTAACATGTGGGTTGGACTCCTCCCACTAAGTCTGCATGAGCGTGTGCGTGACAGTAAGCGTACAGTGAGAGCACATCTGTTAATCAGCACTCTCTCCTAGTCTCTCTAGGTCCAGACCTGGCAAGGGTGGGGGCCACACAGGACACAGAACCAGGACGGTACATCTGAGAAGTCCCCAGGCCAAACACCATAACCAGATAATTACAATCTGGCTTCCCAAGGAAAAGGGCAACAAGCTGCATGACATGAAACGTGGCGCAAGGCTCCTGTCGCTCTCTTTTGCTTGTGGCCTGTGGATGTTTGACATCCCCTGGGTCTATTCTGGAAATGCTTTTTTATTATTGGTGGGGCAAAATATTAATACATCATGTTTCCTTCCAGGAGAAACTTCCTGTCCTCTGTGTGGGGTTATGTAAGGAAGACACGTAGCACTGGAACCAAAAACAAACACGTCCGTGGACATTGAGGGAAATAGAGTCATTCCAGCATGGCTGGAACAGCACGCAAGATCTGAACTGGCCAGCAGAACAAACAGAGTTGCCTGACATTGTTCCTAAAGTTTGCACAGCACCAAACCAGGAAGTCTGTTACTGCCTCTTAGATACACATGATGTTTGGATTAGCAGCTGGGAGGAAAACGAGAGAGAGCATCCGCATCAAAAATCCCATGAAAAGCTTTTCCTGTAAACCTTAGTGCATCTCCAGGCTCACATGATCTACCCATTTCAACCCCATGAGTGCCCTAATATCAGCCCCGACAACACCTAACATCAGCCTTGTGAACATGCGTATACCAGCCCCAACAGCACCTAACATAAGCCTTGTGAGCATGCTAACATCAGTCCCATGAACATACTAACGGCCGCTTGGTGAGCACGTCATAAGCCTTGTGAGCATGCTACTGTAACATCAGTCCCATGAACATACTAACGGCCGCTTGGTGAGCACGTCATAAGCCTTGTGAGCATGCTACTGTAACATCAGTCCCATGAACATACTAACGGCCGCTTGGTGAGCACGTCATAAGCCTTGTGAGCATGCTACTGTAACATCAGTCCCATGAACATACTAACGGCCGCTTGATGAGCACGTCGTCAGCCTGGTGAGCATGCTAAGGTCAGCCCCGTAAACATGCTAATGTTAGCCCCATGAGCACGGTAATGTTAGCCCAGTGAGCATGCTAATGTCAGCCCCATGAGCACACTAATATCAGTGCAAAAAGCACAGAAATGTTACCATCAGCCCCATGAACAGGCTAATGTTAGCCCCTGGAACACCTAATGACACTAAGGTCAGCCCCATGACCACACTAACGTCAGCCCAATGAACATGCTTATGTCAGCCCTGTGAGTATGTTACCATCCAGCTCATGAGCATGCTAACACTACCTCTGTGGGTATGCTAACATCAGCCCCATAAGCACACTAATGTCAACCCCATTAGCAGGCTAATGTCAGCCCCAAAAATACCTAAAAGCAGCCCCATGAATCTGGTAAGCACGCTAACATGTGCCGTTTCTATGCACACTTTGTGTTCAGCGCTTACTTCTAGCAGCGATCATAGCACATTATATCTGGATGTAAAAAGTCAGTGAGCTGCTGCCCAGGCCTGAGTTTGTAAGGACTGCAGGATATATAATCTGAAAGCTCCCGTCCGGCAGCAGATGGTCTGATAGTGAGCAAATTAGACTAAAAGTGGCTGAGGCTCTGTGCAGTGGAGGGGATAGGTCCCGTTTCACAATATTTAGCAGCTTATTGCACAGAAGCATTGAAAATGGCAAGAATTTTCAGCTCTGAAGGGTTCAATTTAGATGCAAGACAATAAATATATATGCTTGATTACATTAACTGTCCAGCCAGCTACTGTTACCTAATCTGAGATAATGAAAGTAAATGTCAATACCTGCATGAACATGTTTAAGTTAATGCATTAAGAGACCTTTGTGAGAAACTATTAACACCGGCAGATTTTTCTAGGTGTGTGCATGCGTGTGTAAGGGGGGTGGGGGGGCAGGACAGTTAATCAGATCACTGTGACTGGTGTAAATTCTGGTCAACCGCCTTTATCCCACATGCCTATAATATAAACCTGCCACAAGGTCCTGATATTGGCCATTAATTGCTTGGTTCTCTTAACCTGTCCTGTCCAAAGTGACTCAAGCATGACGAGTGTCAAGTTATGGGCCATGGTGTGTGTGTGTGGGGGGGGGGGGGGGCTACAGGGCGTTTCCCTACCGGAGAGGAACCACTTCTGGGGAAGGCGAGAGGAAATGCCTTCCCACGGAGGAACAGCCAGAACCCCCACCCTGCGTTTGTTCTCCGGGTCATTTACGGGAAGAGCCAGCAGATTTTGTGAAATGTTACAGACTCACACCATGGCGCATGTGACAGCGGCCTCTGGTAAATCCTACTCCTGCTTGCACAACTAGTGCTATATATTTTCTGTTTTAGCAGCGTACCTGTTTATCTGCTTGTACAGTGACAGTAAACAGCAATCAGTAACCTGGGCACCTTACACACAAGGATCACCTGTTTCATTCACATCTTTTAATTAGCCAGTGTTCTACAGTGGAATCACGACCTTTTCCAGATCCCTCAACCTTATCCCAAGCCAGTCTGTTCTGGGCTTATTTAAGTGAAGTAAGTACAATTGAGAAAGCAGGGTCAAACAGTTCATGGAGCAACTGGGGGTTAAAGGCTTTGTTCAGGGCCCAATGGTGATATAACTCTGTTGACCCTGGGATTTGAAGTGGTAGCCTCAAAGTGGAGTCCTAACCTGCTGAACCCCACACCATTCTTCAAAGATGATTTTAGCCAGTCTCAAAGTGACTTCAGGGTCTTGATTCGCCTCCCCAGCGATGTGTGACAGCGCTCAACTGACAGGAAGGGTTAGCATACATATACAGACACCTTGAGACATGCAGGGTAATGGTTTTACAAGTGGAGGTAAAGCCTAGTTCACGCTACACTATTTTAGCCCCAATTTTCAGTGTTCGATCTGCCCTGGCAAATCGGCGCTAAATCATTATGTGTGAACTGTTCAAAGACGCGACCCAGTGGAGTCACCGATGCATTGCAGATACCCGCCAGATATCTAGCAGGCTAAATATCTAGATCTGTTGTCGACTCTAAATCCTGTAGGTCTGAGAAGTGTCATGACTACAGTCAATGAGAGTGCAAGACACTGAGTGAGATGAAATCAGAGGAAGGAAAAAATACCAAGTACTTCACCTTGGTGTCCTCAATGGTAGGTACGGGCATGTGTGTATATGTGTGTATGTGTATACACTACCAGTCAAATGTTTGGTCACACATTCTCATTCAATGGTTTTTCTTTATTTTTATTTTTTTCTAGATAGTGGATTAATGCTGAAGACTTCAAAACAATGAAGAAACACGTGTGGAATTATGCAGTAAACAAATAAGTGTTAAATAACCAGAATATGTTTTATATTTTAGATTCTTCAAAGTAGCCAACTTTTGCGTTGATGACAGCCTTGCACACTCTTGGTATTCTCTGTCAGATTCATGAGGTATTGACCAGGAATGGTTTTCAATTAACAGGTGTGCCTTGTCAAGAGTTAATTTGTGGAATTTCTTGCCTTCTTAATGTGTTTCAGACCATCAGTTGTGTTGTGCAGAGGTAGGGTTGGTACACAGTTCTACACAGTGAATAGCCCTATTCAACTACTGTTCTACTCCACATTATGGCAAGAACCACTCAACAAAGTAAAGAGAAATGACAGTCCATCATTACTTTAAGAGATGAAGGTCAGTCAATCCAGAAAATTGCAAGAACTTTGAATGTATCCTCAAGTGCAGTTGTGAAAACCATCAAACACTATGATGAAACTGGTTCTCATGAGGACCTCCCCAGGAAAGGAAGACCAAGAGTTACCTCTGCTGCAGAGGATAAATTTATTATAGTTACTAGCCTCAGAAACCAAGTTCAAGTAGCAGGCGCATTTCAACATCAGCTGTTCAGGAGAGACTGCATGAAGAATGCCTTCATGGTCAAATTGCTGCAAAGAAACCATTACTGAGGAAGAATAACAAGATGAAGAGACTTTCTTGGGCCAATAAACATAAGGAATGGACACTGGACCAGTGGAAATCTGTACTTTAGTCTGATGAGTCCAAATTTGAGATTTTTGGATCCACCCGCCATGTCTTTGTGAGATGCAGAAAAGGTGAGTGGATGGTTCCTACATGTGTGGTTCCCACCATGAAGGATGGAGGAGGAGGTGTGATGATGTGGGGGTGCTTTACTGGTGACACTGTTGGTGATTTATTCAAAATTCAAGGCACACTTAACCAGCACGGCTACCATAATATTCTGCAGCAACATGCCATCCCATCAGGTTTGCTCTTAGTGGGACCAGCATTTGTTTTTTAACAGGACAAGGACCTCAAACTCACCTCCAGGCTATGTAAGGACTATCTGACTAAGAAGAAGAGTGATGGAGTTCTGTGTCAGATGACCTGGCCTCCACAATAACCCGACCTAAACCCAACTGAGATTGGTTTGGGATGAGTTGGACTGTAAAGTGAAGGCAAAGCAGCCAACATTTGCTCAGCACCTCTGGGAACTCCTTCAAGATTGTTGGAAAACCATTCCTGGTCAATACCTCATGAATCTGACTGAGAGAATGCCAAGAGTGTGCAAGGCTGTCATCAACACAAAAGGTGGCTACTTTGAAGAATCTAAAATATAAAACATATTCTGGTTTGTTTAACACATTTGTTTACTGAATAATTCCACATGTGTTACGTCATTGTTTTGAAGTCTTCAATATTAATATACTATGTAGAAAACAATAAAGAAAAACCATGGTAGTGTATATATATATATAAATTTTGAATGCCGGGTGACTAAAGAACGAGGCATGTGAAACTACTACTTCCTGGAAGTTCTATGTATACGAGGGTTACTTTGCCGCATATTTGTACATGTAACAATTTGTAGCACGTTTACACCAGAATTGTGATTTCCCGGTGTCATTCATGCGTGTGATTTCATGATAAAACACAGTTTGGAGACCAGACAGATTAATCAGCAATTCCTCCTGGTGAAAGATCTTGTAGTGTGTGACCCCCTGTCACTAATTAGTCATGTAGTGTGTAAAACACAATGACTTAAAGACTGCCAATTACAAGACTACAAGTTGTGAACAGTACAGCAATCAGACGACTTTAAAAGTCGTGTAGTGTGGAGACGGCTTAAGATTGTCCAGGGTCACGTAAGGGGACACAGCTGGGGATGGGAAATCCAGAGATGCACTGCATAAAGACAGCAGCGTGTAATGTGGAGTCACTGCCATCAGTTGCCGGAGCCCACAGGCTGTGGAAATGTGCAATTTCATGGATACATGGGGACAGATCATTTAGTCAGGTAGCTCCACTGGTAGATTTGACATTGAGGGAAGGAAACAGAATATCATGGGATGGTTATCTAGTTCAGGGTACACAGATCCATCACCAACAAGGCTCAGACAATGCAAGGAAAAGTCTAGCATTGTCAGACTTTATAAAAGGGAGACTGGGGGAACTATGACATCCTTATTACATTTTCAGGATCAAAGTCCTAACCACTGGCCTTTTCTCCAACACTTACAGTGGAAACATCCAGTAATCCAGTCCAAAAATTCACCCCAGCATCCCACTCAAACAGAAAAGCAACTCATAAGCAGATCTGCCTTCTAGTGTGAGGTGAACATGGAAAATTCAGGGTGGGGGGCGCAAGGCGGAAAACAGAAAGGAGGCAGACGACACCAACTCATGGCTGTTAATGCCAGCCTTACGATCTCCAATAAAGCTGGGAAGTCCTAATGAAAGCATCTCCAGCAGAGTGAATGTTCATTTCATTGCACATGAAACGATGCAGATTAACCAGCACAAAAAGCCTTAATAATACCAGATACGTGCTGGTGCATGGTTGAAAAAAAAATAACACACTGGGGCTATATGATTACGTCAGCCCTCTGGGAAAAACAGCTTAATGAAGACTCATCTTGTGGCTGGCCAACAGTTCTGGTGAAAACTAAGCAAGTCCTCACTAAAACTGGCTATATTTCTAATGTAAAGTAAAGCACAGACGTTTGCCCCCTCCCCTCCCCAAAAAAAAACGAAAAAAACAAAAACAAAAAACTAACATTCGCCTGGGAAACAAATGCACAAAAAAGAAATAGAATTACACAGAAAGAGAGAGATGAAAAGATGACAGAGCTATTTATGGAATCACACTAAGTATGGAGAACAGATGATGGCTTCGGACAGCTTTGTTTCCCCTCCATTTCAGAGAGTGAAGGGCTCCTGGTGCTAGCACCATTCAGACTACGCATTTATAAGGGGTCCCCTATCTGCAACAAACAGTCACTACACTCGGGGGGCAGGGTGCTTCCCAAAGTGACTTTTTGAGTGGGGTCCCAGAAACAACAAACCTGACCCTGGAGACAGGAACATGGTTTTTGCGGTTTGCTCATTTCTCTTCTTCGATCTCCTTTCCCCATTGGAAGTTACTGATATTCACAGAAGTTTTTTGGCCGCCACTTTGAGGGGCCAGTAAGGAGACCGGTTACTGTATTGTGCTTCTCTCTGCGTTTTAGTTTAGTCACCCATCACACCGCAGTGGCCGAATCAATATCTAAGGAATACAATCGCCCTGTCAATCAATAAGACCGCGCCGTTTGCACTAACCATCCAATTATACTTACGACTAGCCAGCTGTCTCAGGGGTGGGGTGATAACTCAGTGCCCCGTCCATTAAACCATCACCCCTATTATCAATCATGCTAAGGTTACCCGCAGAGTAAAATCGCCGATAGCGACAGCATATAAGCATGCCGGTTTGCTCGCTGCTGTTTGCACCGCGTGGCGTCCCTAATCTCTCCCCGATCACAGATAGCCACTGCTGTACTGTAGCTAGAACAGTGATACTGATGGCCCCTGCTACAGTACTTAGCACAAACCCCAACGTGAGGGCAGGACGACTGAACGGGTAGTCGTGCACAGTCTTACAGTACATGATCTCCCAGAATAACGGACAAATTGTCAACAATAACGGTGATACAATTAAATGAAGGTTAAGACCATTATGTAGCACAATCATGGATAATTATTACAGTGCATATATCTATATGTGCTTGTCAGTCGTACATCTGCTTACTTTTCATAGCAAAGTGGAAAATAATTTTTATTATGATTAGTCGCCATTGGTCCGTCTCTCAGCTATGGAAACTATAGAAGCTGATAACTCCGAAAACAGGGAGCAGAATCATGTCTGCGTATGAACATAAAAATGTATTTTCATCCACGTAGTGATTTCCTTCGGCTGTAAAGTTTCATCCAATGGCGTCTGCACAGTAAAAGTATAGTAACAGCCTGTCTGAGACAGAAAAGTAGTCTCTGGAGCAATTTAGGCCGTTTTCTTCTTCAGTGAGGAAGACAATTGTAAAAAAATTACCAATGATTTAGGAACCTGTAACATTATTATATTGGTGATGTCATGCATGGAACGCAATTAAAACTGAAAATAACTAATAAACGAAAATAACTAAGAAACGCCAAGCAATTAAAATACCACCGTTTAGCAGATATAGGCTACTCTAAGACACACCATACTGGCAAAGCAGTTGGTAGATACAGTAATCTCGAATAACATCACCCTTAACTGTAGGTGCAACAGAAGGTACGTATTTCAAAAAAGATTTGCACAAAATTGCGCTTTTTTGGGGTAAATAGTACGGGGCGTGTCGATCGATAATCTCTAAATCGGCAGGGGATCTTTGTTTACATGCCTTCATTTAAAATCCAAAAAGCAGGAAGTTTATTATTAGGGGAAGCAGAGAGGCGCACGTAGCGTGGCTGCGAGCAACTTCTCACATGCAAATGCACATTAATACATACCGCTATATCATGTGTAAAATACACGATAGATGCATCACATACAGACACAATTTTATTATGTATATGTATACATGAATATGTAATATCTATAAGTTATAACTTTCTATCACTCATATGCCTGCATAGGCTATATAAACGCACCATTAAAGAAACCGGAGACAAGCCGCTTATTAGGCTACTGGCATGTGTTGAACAAACGAAGACGGACAGTTTCGGCCGATGGTTGGAAGTTACCGAGCCTCATGTCAGTCGTGGGATGAAGCCACTTTTTTGATGCCGTCCGATGAACCGCAGGTTACATGCGAGAAGCAGATCGTCCTCCTCCAAAGTGCAAGGCAGTGCTGTCCACCTACTCACCTCCATACCTACCAATGCGTCGTTCGCATTAACAGCACCGCTCTCAATGAACTTCCCACACGCTGCTATATTACAGCCCCTCTATCGGATAAAACAATCACCGCTACCAAGGTCCCGCAGCAGTGCCCCGCAGACCTCACGTCCC